TCGTGCAACGAGGTCCTCCAGTGAGTCAACGGGAGTCTCGTAAATGATGCTCTTTAGACGGCCCCATAAAAAATGCAAGCTGGATAAATCTGGCGAACGGGGTGGCCATCGGATGGGTCCACCACGGCCAATCCACCGGCCCGGAAATGTCCCATCCAAGTAATTGCGGACCCCCACGTGGTTAAAGGTTGCTGCACCATCATGCTGGAACCACATGCGATCACGAATGACAGCCGGAACATCCTGCAGCAATTCCGGTAGCACCTCTTGCAGAAAAATATGATGACATAAGCCATTTGTACGCGCAGGTAAGAGGTATGGGCTTATGAGGTAGTCGTTTACAATATCCGCCCACACATTTACGGAGAAGCGGGTTTGGAATACATGTGGACGTGTGCCGTGTGGATTATGAGTTACCCACACGTGCATGTTATGGCTATTGAAGATGCCATCCTGTGAGAAAGTTGCCTCGTCCGTGAATAGCACATCCGATGGGAAATCCGCCTGCGCCACACACTGCTGCAAGAACCAATGACAGAAATGAACTCGAAGAGGGTAATCTGTCTCTTTCAAGGCTTGGACTCTCTGAAAATGGGTGCAAACCATTTTCATGCAATAATCTCCAAACGGTGGAATGACTCAGCTGCAGACGACGTGCAATAGCTCTTGTACTTGTCTGAGGTGATTCCTGCACAATGCTCAAGATGGATTCTTCAACGCGAGGTTGTAATGCACTTCTCTCACTCCTAGTGTTATAGGTTGCTTCAAATGACCCGTTTTCACACAGAGACCGATGCAACTCTCGAATATTGTGTGCTTCGGCATACGCCTGCTCGGAAACCGTTCCTGGTACAACCGTAATGTTGCTCTGCCGTTCCCATTGGCAGCACCGTACATGAGATGCATGTCAGCTTTTTCCTGTGCGTAAACTCACCCATCACGCTCGACATCAGAGTTGAGAATGATCCTCTGATGCATCGAATCGTGGTTTGTCCGGCTCACTACAGCCCTCTACCGCTGCATTGCCAGCCAATCACAGCTGTAGTTCCTATTACTGTTAGTGTTCCCTTTTTCGAACATTTATTGTGAATACTGTATTGCTGCAAAGAAGCACTTTGCGTTGATTTTGTACATGCACACATTTTCCTCTCGTGTCATTTTTTTGCGTTCCTGCCTTAAACCGTCCCTTTAAACGCCACATTCCTATACAAAAAATGCTTGTTTTAGTACGCTCCACCCCCCCTCCAAGTTTGTCCCATAACCTATGAAACACCCTGCATATATTTGTAAAGAGCTTCTCGTAATTGGAATAAATATGTTCTGAGTTTTAAATGCAGCAGGAGTTACTCAACTTCACAACTTTACTCAACCATTAAAACGAGTCAGATACGCTACCTGGCGTCACTCAACACAAAATAGCCTGACAGCCGTTCCCACAGTAGTGACCAAGATCCTTCAAACCATACAGGGAAACATTATTTTCTGGACATTACGCTACAGTTATTTCTGATTTCTTCAATTTCCTTTGTAATTTTTGAGGCAAGGGCTAGAAAATTTGTTATGTTTATTCATAGATTTAAAAAATAAATAACAAGAATATGTTTTTCTCTTTTATAGTTAGCAAGCCTAAAGGACGAAAAGTAATTCTTATTTTCGTTTTATTCATAACTATATTTGTATTACAATATTCAGTACCAGAGATACGTTTTCATATTTCACTCTATAAAAATGATATAACACAAATAGTGCATTAATCTTGCTGCTCTTTTTTAAATTTCCAATATTCACTTGACTTCATTTGACTGAGACAAATCATTTATGTGCTGCAAGAGCATTTTGTTAATTATTTATTACTTGAAATAAAAAAATATTTTTAAAATTTAAGTACTAAATGAGCTATTTTGGAAAAGGCCGTTTTCTTCGGTCCATTAATTAGCACTGCCAGCTGCCCTAATGTAATGCCCGGGTTTGAATTTCAGAAAAGGGATGAACGAGTGTGAGTGCATAACGCCTTAATGGTATCGAGCCTAAAGCTATAAAATACTATCAAGCCTAAAGTAATCTTGAGAGATTAATTGTAGGATCCATTGTAGGATCCTCATGTGTCCTAACAATGAGGACCCTTAGCGATTCCTGACTTCAGCTTATCTGCTCTTTCATCAACTTTAGCGACTGCTTCTCTCTTATTTAATTCATTTATCTGAACGATGATGTGGAGGTAATTGCAATTAATTGCAAAGGTACTCCATAATCCAAATGCCTTGGTCCTTGGTCCTATAAAGGGTCTAAGGGCTGTGATAGGCGAAACGTTTTCCCTCTTAGAGAGCTGTGGATTCATAGATCTACATTTATGGATCCAAATTCGTGGACTTAAATTCACGAATCCTCCTGATCTAGATCACGATCAGAAGAATAAATCACGATAATAATATTTTAAAAAGCAATGAAGACAGCAGTATGCATTACGGTTGTTCTTGTAAATATTAAAAATTCATTTGCTTGCATTGTTGCTTTTATGTATTGCTGTAATACTTTGTACTGTTTTATTTATTTACTTATTTATTGCATTTAGGGTTATAATTTTAGAGTCTATTTTATTGTAGAATTGGATTTGTGGGCCATGTTTTGTGTAAGATTGTTTATTTCTTATACAGAAGTGTAGATCTTATCATTCTGAATCTAACAGCGTTTGAACTGTAAAAATAGCTCAAGCAGAACGTGAGAACATAGACAAATACGCTGTAACTACGCAACAACTTTTATAGCAAAATTATCCACATTTGGCTGTCTTCCATCAACTTGGTGGTTTTCTGTAAGATTTGGGGAAAAAAAAAAAAAAAAAAAAAAAAAAATAAATAAATAAAAAAATAAAAAATCTGAAATGTTTCAGATTTTTAAATTACGTCCAAAGGGCGTTTTTTTACGTTTTTAACGTTTTGAGTGTTTACCTTTATTTATTAAATATCATGTTCTTTGCACTTAAACCATAAAATTCAGTTCAAGAGCAATATCGCAAAATAATGTTAAATTAAGCATATCTTTAGAATTTCCGATATACACAGTCTCGCGAGCTGGAGATAAAGTATTTTTTTTTTCTATATAACGTTGCCATTTCTCGCTTTTAAAGCATTGAGTTTGTAAATCAAAAATTCGTTAAAAAGTTTTACAAAATATAAAATCTATAATAAAACAAATTCCAAATTTGGGATTTCAGATGCCCATATTCGCCGTAGGATTTCGTCATTCAAAATTCGATGGCTCTATGTACCATTGTTTTATCACAATGCGAGAAATAGACAATCATTTATGCAGATTTTTCATTATTTAATTTCTTCAAATATAATGCAGGACTCTAACATTTTGTGGCAACAGTTTGAAAAGTGAACCGACGTTTATGAGTCCGACGCAAAATCGCAAAACGAAAACAATAGTCCTTCAGCCCCTTTGGACTAAAAAAAAAAAAAAAAAAAAAAAAAAAAAAAGTTTTGAAAGCTCTGATCAATTTTTCTCGAAGCTTCCAGTAGCTCATAGTAAAAGTTCAAGGGGGTAGGACACCTGAAAGTCTCTGTTTGTCGTACATGTAATTCCACCGAACTAACTGTGCAGTTCCGCCCGAAGCGGTTCAAAGACTGTTAGCTAAATTACGTTTTAAAATTTATTCTGTTGGTGATTTTTGGAGTTAACAGTATTTCTTCTTCTCTAAGGAGGAATTGTTCTTGAGCGAGGAGTCCTGGAAGGAGCGTCTGCGAAGAGTATTCTGTTCCTACATTTTAAAAATTCTTTACAGTGTGTTCGATTTGAGTGTTTAGCAATGCCATAAATAATTGGATTGAGGATAGACACCGAAAAATCCCTTTCAGGGCCGCTTAACGAATTAGTTTTTCAATGCGATATTTGTATTCAATTAAATAGGGATTATACTGAAAAACTGCATTGTAATATTGATGAAAAATGACTAAATGTAAAACAAATATTCTTAAATTCGTGGTAATAACCTACGTAATTTAAACCACATGTAGTACCTGTAGTTACTACATTATTATTTGCACAACAAACACCCTAGCATACATCATCCAGGATTAAGCTTAAATATTTCGTATACACCCTGGCACGCTTCCAACGGAACAGAACCTTTCATTCATTGAAATGAAACTGTTCTTTTTATGACTCAATGCTCACTAATAATAACCTTGCCGAAATGAATCCAAAATGATGTGTGAATCAAAAACGGTTAGCGAGGACAAACATAGAGTTGAAAGAATCGAACGAGCAGTGGGATCGGGATCGGTTGACGAGGTTAAAGCAAAACGCCGAAGTAATCGAGCGAGTCATGGAATAGAAAAATCGACCCAGTCAAACACTAACTCCTTTTAATGATTTCTTTCAATTGAATTTTGAGATTTTCTAAAATCTCCTTTCTGTAAAGAACTACTATAAAATTTTAAGAACAAAAATTTTTTCACAATTTTAGAAATGATAAAAATTAAGCTTATTTTTAACATGGGAGGATAAACATTCTTTTCTCTTATAAAATTGAAATCGAACTTTCCTAATAAGCTTCCAACAAGAATTCCATTCTTTTTTTAGCCAATCAGGTGTAAACTTGCTCAGTAAAGTGAATCAATTAGTACACGAATAGCAAATCCGTATTCTTGTTTCCAACAACAGCTCTCCGTAAACTGTAAACGAACTACAACTCAGTTTTCTGGAATCGGAGTCAACTGACTCAGTAAAGTGAATCGGTTCTTTGAATAAATTCTATTAGGAAGTTCGACTGATGACTTTTCTTATAGGAAATCCTTATGCTTTTCGAAGAAAACTTACATAAGGTCTGTCTACATCAATGAGCAAAAATTTCTATGAAACCATTCTCAACACAAGGGTGGATTCTGCTTCAATTAAAATGTCTTATGTCAAAGATAAGTTTTAATCAAATTTTAAATGCTTATTTTCCAGATAAGAAAATACCAACAATTTTGAATAAAAATAGACACTATAAATAAATTTTAAATCTTTTATTGAAAGCTAACACGTATATTACACATCGATAAATGGAAACCAACAATGTATATATTTTATACATGTTCTGCGTGTTTCCAAAATCAAGAAAATATATAGAATATATTATAGTTACAAATTCTCAAAAATAAGCAAATGTGATATTCGATGAAGTTTGGTGATGAAGAAGATGAACATGGAATGTCTCGCCAAACCATACTCCAAAATATATTTAAATTATTCATTAAAAATTGGACGTAGTAGTTAAAACACTTCCATTAATAGGATATCACATGTCTGATTTTTCAAACGAATTTGACAAGAGTGCTAATGTATAACCATTTTAATGCTAATAAATATGTAATTAATGTAAATCATTTACATAATCAAATTCATCAGCATAAATAATTACACAAAAGTTAATAATAAAAATATTATTAAATATAGTTTATAAGTGAAGGAGAATACAATTTTTTCCTCACTTGTATAAAGTATTATGCTTAAATGTAAAAAAAAATATGGGATATAAAAATATAAATTTGTAAAATTGGATTGTGAACTCATCTAATGAGATTTATCCTTTGGCTATGGTTAAGTAAGTCGTAATTTTAACCAGAGTGGCAGGGATCTTAAGATCTATGATATGATGAATCTTAAAAAAGTTTTAAAGTTATGACATTGCTATTACAAAAGGGTACAAAACTTAACCTGCAAATTTGCAGATAATGGATAATTTATAGGTTTTTTAAAATAGATTTGATTAGGTTGCAATTAATGAGATCTAAGTTTTTTCGATGGCTTAACACAACTGTTTAATTTATTTCACTAATTTACTTAATTTCTTACATATGTAATAATAATAAAAGCACTTTTGTATTGCGTAAAATTACATATTTACTATAATTTAGGTTTATGAATAGAATTTACTTTATATATTAAACATATAAACAAAGTAATTTTTAATATAAAATGAAATTCGCTTTAAATATAATTAAATAAGTTCACTATTTACGTTTAAAATTGTAGTTATATTATGCGTAAAAATAAATCTAATTAAAAGCGTAATTAAATATTTAAAAAGCAATTAATCAAGGTTTTACTTGGAAATGGTTATCGGATACTCATCTTGCTTTTTTATACACACGCAACGCGGAAAATTTACTAAATATTCAGAACCATGCCTAAACTGGCTAACATTACTTGATTTTGGACAAGTATTATTACAAAACCAAATAAAGGAACTTGCTGCTTGCACTCCATTAAAGTTAATTATATGCGTATTTACTCGAAATGGAAAACAAATTCTTAAATTGAAAACAATAAAAGACAGATGTTCTAAGAATGCGTATTCCTTTGATTTATTACATAGATATAAATATACGCATATATGATTCTATGCTGCATCCTTCAGACGGTAAGTTATGTTAATCATCTTGTAGAGGTTAAAATTACGAAATCAGTTACTCTGTATCCAGAAATGCCGAAACTGCATAAAGGAATTCCTTTTCTCTTGTTTCTTCTTCATAAACTGAGTCGTTTTTTAGTGATAATGCGCATCAATATTTTTTATATAAATGCATAGAGAAGCACATCTATAAAAGGCTATAGTTATAATTCAATAAAAATGTAGATGTGAATATTTTTATAAGACAAATTTGCAACGGATATGTTTCACACGTCTTTGTTTCAAGATTTCATCACCTTGGTGACATTCTCTTATCATAGCGGTGATTTGTACAGAAGTTCATGATAGTCAGATGCTACGACACGTATTGCTGATGATTACCAAAATTTCTCCTGCTTCCTCCTTTCATTCTTCGACTTTTCGGACATCTGACGTGACAATTCCTGAAAAAGAAGACAGAAAAAAAGTTATTTTGGCAAATGATATAATCATTATTTCATTAAAAAAAAGGAATCATCATGAAAGAATGATTCAATATGCTAATGACCCTCGGAGCCAGTAAACTATGTTCTGAAAAATGACAATAATTTCAAACAACTCCTTATATCTATTGACCACATTTATAAAGTATGTAGACAGGGGATAAGATTTGGTCTGACCGATATGATTAATTCGCATAAAGGGTACCGTCACCTTTTGTAAGTTGGCCATTGTTCACCAAAGCACAAGGGGTACCATTTGTGAATTTTTTGTACGGTTCCCGAAGAGCAATTAGTAGTTATTAGTAATTATATGTGCAATTACAAATAACTAGAAAAGGTTAAATGCCCTTACGCAGAAACTACACGGAGATATTAGCAATAATCATTTTCCTTGGATCAATTATAATGTTAATTGCATAAAATCGAACTTTAGCTTAACACAGGACTATTAGTCACCAAAAAGAACAATATTTATTTTGCAGTGTTTTGATAATCTTGGTAAAAATCTATAAAGAAACCTTTGGTTTCTTTTAAAGAACCCTCCCAATCCTAATGCTCATATTTATGACTGATATAAGGATATAAAACTCGTATACATATTTTTCGAACACCCTTGTATACACTCCTTCGGAAAAAAAAAATCTCACCAACAAAGGAGGACTTTTGCGATCGTGACAAAATTTGGTATACAAAGACATCTTGATCGAACATGCAAATGGTCAAAGTTTCAAGGCAAATGAACAGGAATTTCAATCATAGCACGCATTTCTAGTGCGCAATTCGCAAAGTATAAAACCAGTAACAGAGGCGGAAAACTATCTTTCTAAGTTGCTACCATTGTAATTCCGTAAAGAAGCAACTAAAGATGCCATTACGACCTTATCGATGACCATATCGAAGACCTTACAGAAAACTAAACGACTTCGAACGTGGTCGCATTGTAGGGTTGCGTGAAGCTGGGTGGTCATACCGAGCAATAGGCCGCCACTTGCAGCGTACAGACACTGCTGTGCAAAGATGTTGCCAGCAATGGTTGCTACAAGGAAACTGCTGACGAATGAAGGCTTTGGAAGGCCAAGGAGCACAAATGTGAAACAAGATAGGATGACTGTTCGCCAGGCTCGAACCGCCCAAATAGGATCATCGTCGACTATCCAAAGCACTACAGCCACGTCTATACCTCCCGTGGTACCGTCCACCATCTCACGGCGCTTGTCTGAGACCGGGCTAGGCTCACAGAGGCCTTTAAGATGTTTCCTTTGGCCCCCACAACATTGGCGGAGTCGTCTGGAGTGGTGTCACAGCCGATTATCATGGCTGCCATCAGACTGGCATCGTATTGTGTTCAGCAATGAATCCCGCTTCACTCTTGAAGCAGATGACCACCGTGTTCGTGTTTGGAGAGGACGGGGACAGTGGTCCCAATCAGTCTTTGTTTTACAAAGGCATATAGCCATAACCCCTGGTATGACGGTGTGGGACTCTATTTCTTATGACAGCAGGTCATCTTTAGTCATCCTCCGTACATCTTTAACAGCTCAACGATATGTTGATACCATCCAGCGGCCGGTTGCATTACCCTTCATGGCAGGTCATCCTGGGGCCATTTTCCAACAAGGCCTCATACCGCTCGGATATCTCTGAACTGTCTCCGTGCTGTTGATACTCTTCTTTGGCCAGCAAGGTCACCAGACCTTTCATCAATCGAGCATGGTAGGCCACCAGATTCCGACACCACAAAATATCGCAGAGCTGGAGCGACAACTGATGTATGCCTGGTAGAATGTGTCCAAGGATGACATTAGGAACCTCTTCCACTCCTTGCCTCAACGAATTCAAGCACGCATTGCTGCCAGGGGCGGTTCGACCACCTACTAATTTGAACACTCAATGGGTGACTGTGAACTGTTAACAGGCACTATGATCTTGATTTTTAAATTATTTATTATGTGTACATGAGCTATAACATATTCAGTTTCATCAAAACAACCATTTCCTTCATGGTGCTTCGATTTTTTTTTTGCAAAAGCGTGTATAAATGTTATTTTATTTAGAACTCTGATAATCCTCCTGTAGATTACTGCGCAGATAATAAGCTACAGAGTATTGGAAACATTATATATATGATGCAAATTTTTGCCATGAATCTCTGCATAGGCTTCACTTACTGTGTATAGTAGACGTAAAGCTTTAGTAGAGTAAACTGGCTGCAAAAGAATAATGAATTTATTCAACATTTCCGTAACTAATGTAAGCTTTAAGGAGATGGATAAAGTGTTTCTACTGCAAGTCCTATGCCTAACTGCAAGATAAGCACACTAATTTAAAAATTAGAACTAGGCAATATTCAGTCATAAATATGAGTTAGTTTCATATAAAAATATCACCATTTATTCACTTCTAAAAAATCTGAAGCAGGATTCGTTCCTTAAAAACAAGTATTTTGAGTCATTTTGCCTATAATGTAGTATTTAACAAGACAAGATGAAAGTAAGCGATAGCGCCATTTACTAAAAGTCAATTTCGAAGAATTCCAAACTAATACTGACTTTTTCTTAAATCTGTGTGTAGATATTTTCAGTGCGATAATGGCGACATTAAGGTGATTAAATTTTTGGCATACACAGTAAAAGGTGTATTTGATTAGCACTCAGCCATATAAAGGCTTAAAAAATTATGTTAGTGATGCTTTTTAAAAATTTCTTGAATCGTATTATTATATTAGATCGCAAAATTTTTGTTTGTAGTTCCACAAGTTTTTTTAAAGTACTCATTTCCTGTGCTTTACTGTTACCCTCTTCGAAACAAAAATAAATTTCTGTAATTCAAAAGAATTTAAATTAAGATAATGAACAAAGAATGAATAGATATATGAACCAAACCAAAGAATGGATCAAACCAAATTGTGCAGATTTTACTTTAGCAGAAAATGATTTCGCTACAGCATCTTTTTTATTGGGCTGTAAGTTTTTACACAAATCCAAAATACGTAGTTTGAAACAACTGTAGCATATAATAAATCGATTTTTAAAATCAAATATTTTGAATTATTATTGATAAAAGGCTTCCATAACTTATATATGCTTTCATTTTTTATTACAAGAAAACCTTGAAAGAAAAGTAAGCAGAATTTGATTAGACGCAGGTTTTTGAATCAACACCAAGAACAGACTTATTACAAAAATTTACTAACAGACGCATTTGTGTGTTAAATAATATCAAATTATTTATTTTTCTATGTAATCTAAATCCCTGAGTTTTGAACTATCTAATTTATTTTGAATGTATATAAAAGGTACTGTAATTTTTTTCGTCCTCTTGAAAGTTCAGGTATCTCAACCTATTGTTGTTTGTTTGCTTGATAACTGTCAAAAATATCAGAAGTTGATTGACGATAAAAGCTAGATATTAAATCGGCAATGCGTACTACAAAGAACGTGTGAAATAACGAGGTAGATAACAGCTCAATCATATCCAATACGAAATCTTCAAGATATGTGTTTGATGTTTCAATGCTAAAAAAACGATATTTGATTATTCTACTGTATCTGTTTTATTTCTTATACAGAATGAAATTTATTAGATTGATTTATTAGATTGAAATTTATTAGATTGAAAATTTTTTCGGCCTATAAAATCATTCTTTTACCTGCAGATTAATCTTATTGCAATATGATGCAGAAATAACCTCATTAAATAATATGCAACAAATTTAATATACTCATTTGCGTATTTAAAAATTTTTTTAGATCTTTAAGACAAAGTTAATTTGATCATAGTGCCTTCGTAATTTTCTTGCTATTTTAGTTATTAGAAGTGAAATATTTATGAATTAGCTATGTAATTATTATTATTATTATTTCAGCCGAGTAAGACTAGAAATGCCATGTCATTTTTTGCCCACTTACTAAAGCTATAATTAACAATTTGTATGCAAAAATACTAAATTAACAATTTGTCAATTTTTTCTCACGAAAGTACTAGAGATATAATTAATAATTTGTATACACAAGTACTAAATTATTCATAAGTTATTATTCATAAGATTAAAGATGTATTAATAACTCTTGTTAACAAGAATGCTAAAAAGAATATAATTAACAATTCTTATTCATAAGAATACTGAGGATTACAATTAATAGTATTGATACAGAACACGATTTAATACTTTTAATTAGTTAGAGCATGATGAAAGTTCGTTAATAAAATGCTGATTATATTTTAGCCATGCTGAACAACATTCGAAATGTATATATGGCTGAGTGACTCATAAAAAATCTCCCTTTTAAGGATGCTCGGTTTGATTTATGTATTTATAGCATGTAAAGGATTTCTAAGGATCTTGCCTTTTATTTTTGTGTTCTTAATTATTTGTATTTATTTTTGTGCTTAAAAATAGCGTTTTTTGGTACCCGCTTCCCCAAGAAATAACTAACTAACTAAAAGCGGTAGATCGCATACTACATCATTACCCAATTAACAATTCAAGTTCCTACCCAATTAACAAAGAGTAAAATTAATAATTCCTGTTCATAAGAATACTAAAGAATAAAATTAATAATTCCTGTTCCCAAGAATACTAAAGACTATAATTAACAACAATCTTTTACTTCATGTATAGTTTTAAATACTGAAAACAATGAAAATTAGCCAATGCGTTTTAAGTGGATGGAATAGCAGTAGCTTAAACTAATAAGAAAATGCAAATTAAATCCATGATGCTAAATGCGTTGCATCTAAAAGCATATTAACTCAAGTAAATCATGATTCTCATCAAGATTTTGATGAGATCATTCTTTGGCTTATGTTAGTCCGCAGCAAAAACATTTTTATTTAGTTGTATAAAATCGAAATTCTGCAAAATAAAGCTCATAGGAAAATTACCAGTGCACTTCGGTTTATAAAGAATGGCACATTGTATACCGATTTACAATTCGAAGTCATCAAAAATTCCATTTTCT